AGATCTTCCTTTCGCCCCCTCACCCCCTGGCGTCATCCTTCCTGAAGTCAACATGTGGAGGAACATTGGGAGGGGGGTCCGAGGGGTCTTTTCTTCTCTGTTTTATTTACAGCACCTCAGTGACCTGTGAGTCACGGCAGCTCTGGTTAATCAGTAATCTGAGTCGCAGCACCGTGAGCGGGGCTTTAAGTGGAGGAGAAGAGGAGTCAGGACTTCACTCAGCAGAAGAAGATCCTCACGGTAAGAGCCGCGTTTCTCACTTTTGGCTTAGCAGCTTTTTGTCTTGTTATTTCCTCACGGGGAAGTGCGTTCTTGAAACTCCGCTTCATCTCGTTGAATAACTTCCTGTAGCTCTGAGTGACTTTTTTTTTAATTTTTATTGCTGTGCAGCTCATTTCTTTGTGTTTGTTTTGTAATGCACACTGTGGACACAAGTGTAACGCTGATGCTTGGAATATGTGGTAAATCTTTTATGGCTTTATGACCAGTGTCTTCAGGTCAGTGTGGACACAGGTGGGAGGATTTCTCTGCACAAGAACTTCTGAGTTTGTTGAATTAATCGATTAAAAAACAGCAAAACCCCAAGGCCATGTCCTGTGGGACGTGTCCAAACATAGAGACGTGCATTGTTTGCAGACCTGCTCCAAAAGTCCATCAGTCCACATTTCTGCACAATCAACTCGAGGGATAAAGTCCTGTCTTTGCAGAAATGGTGGATTTTTAACTTATTCCACTTCAAAGTAACAAAAATAACAAAACCAGTTCACTGCAGGTGAGGGGCTGATGTTTGTTGGTTCTCAGTGGCAGAGTCAGCTCCAAGGTTCAGTTAGAAACGCCCACTTTAACTTTTTTTATTTTGGTGTTATTTCTACAAACAACATAGATTTTCACATTGTTCTTTTTAAAAAATAATCCTGCAACAATCTGACTGTAATATTTAATTTGTGTAATTTTATTATTTGTCTAAAATCTAGGGAATTAAACACTGTGCCTTTTACTCTGTATCAACTACACACACACACACACTGACACAGATTCATCTCATTATCTATGCGACCCTGGTTCTAGAGGGTAATGCCTGCCTCCCATTCAGTGAGCAGCAGGAGAAAAGACAAACAAAGAGGAGTCCATCCATCACTGACATGCTGCTCTATGCTCACTGCTCCAAACCACTTTAAGCCGGATTTCTCCCTAATACTGGCTGTGAGGTAATAAACACTGTTTGTTTGTTTGTTTGTTTTCTCTGTCCACAGAAGAAATTGTTTGAAAAGCATCCAGCAAAAGAGAAAATGCAGACACCGTCTGTCCTGCTCCTCCTGATTGGCTGCTGCCTGTCTGTGACTCAGGCCAACAGGGTCTACATCCACCCCTTCTTCCTCTTTGCGTCCGAGAATGTGACCTGCGAGAGTCTGCAGACCCAGTCCTCCAAACCCCTGGAGACGCTTCCTGTGGCCCCTCTGGACATTGAAGTCCTGACACCGGACAGCAGGGACCCATCCAAACAGGAAGTGCCGAGACAGAACGTCACACAGGGGACAGCCGTCCTGGCCAAACTGTTGAACTCTCTGGGCCTCGTGATGTACCAGGCCCTCAGCAAGAAGCAGCCCGGCACCAACATCCTCCTCTCTCCTGTCAACACCTACGGGTCGCTGGTCACCTTATACCTGGGGGTTTCCAAGAAGACGGCGCGCTTGTTACTGGTACATGAATTTGTCCAAACACAAGCAGAACATTCACTGTTGAACTGTTGACTTACTGCAGACTCACTAAGATCATCAGCCTTCATTCTTGCTTCAAATAATGACATTTGTTTTTTCCCACTTCTCTCCTTGTGAAGTTCATGCTGGGCCTCAGCAGAGACCATGAGAGACAAGATTGTGTGTACCTCGTAGATGGACACAAGGTTCTCCAGACCCTCCAGAGCATTAACTCCTTGATAGACGATGGACCCAAGGACGAAATCACGACCCAGGTGTGGGCGTTCACGCGTCATGGAGTCCAACTGTCCCAGGACTTTGTTCAAGGCACGCAGGACTTCTCAGACACGTCGTTCACCCGGAGCGTGGACTTCTCCAAACCCCAGGAGGCTCAGCTAACGCTGAATAACTTTGTGGAGCAGACGTCAGGCTCTAAGGTGAAGGACATCTTCAGAGACGTGAACTCCAGCAGTGACTTCCTGTTCGTCTCTTCCTTCAACTTCCAAGGTCTGTTGTGAAAATGTACTGATATAAATTTGTAACTTTAGGGCAGACCGTAATTCAGTCTCTAATCTTGTAACAGAACATTTTTTTAACCTTGTTAAAACGTACAACGAGCACCAAGGAGTGTAAACCTCCATGGGTCGTATAGGGTTTGGATTGTTGTGGACACTGTGGACTTGGACTTTGGTTTTTGGTCAAACAAATAGTTTCAAACTAAATGATTTAAACAGACTTTTGGGTGTGAAAACCGCTTTGATGTTACATCAGAGCAAAAAGAAAAGAAAAAAAAAGTGAAAATACATAATATGTCAAAACATGAGACTCAAAAAACTCACATGAGTTTCAAGGATGCGAAGAAAACACATTTAAAAAGTAGCAGTTAGGAGTTGATCCTTTTCTCTGGTGGCTAAAATGCATCATTATATATTCTGACACACTGTAAACACTGCACATCACTATTTATCTCCTCTTATTGAAAGTCAAACCGACTGTACTAGAGTGTGTAGTGTCATGGTATGACCACCGAGTGGTGCCTGATTCATTTCTTATTTCAACCAACCTGACTTTCCGTGGACATGTCTGTCTTTTGTTTTCCAGGCAGCTGGAGGACAGCCTTCCAGCCAGAGGACATGTCTTTAAAGGAGTTTCATGTTGATGAAACAACCACGGTGATGGTTCCACTCATGACCCACACGGGCCGTTACTACTACCTTAACGATAAGGTGAGAAATAATGTTTTAAACTTTAATTTTTGCTGTGTTCGTTACAGCTTATCACCGACTTGTTCTATATAATATTATGTATTTATTATGGGGTTTTTGTCTTCATGAAGATGCACCGGTGCACTGTTGTCAAGCTGTCTCTGAGCAGACGGTCGTACATGTTGCTCGTCCTGCCTCACCAAGGAACCAAACTCCGTGACATTGAGTCGAAGGTGCTCAAAGACATAACGTCCACGTGGCAGGAGAACCTTCAGGAAGGGTGAGGATGGCGTCACACAACTGTGTTCATAAATATCACATTTCCAGGATATTTTTCTCTTTCAGTGAATTTTTATTTAACAGACAATTTCACATTTCACAAGCTGAAAGAACGTTTTTATTTTCAAAGGCCAGGCCACACCGATATAAAACTGTAGACTCCTGCCTTTATTTGTGCCAGGCCACACCGATACAAAACTGTAGACTCCTGCCTTTATTTGTATGTAGTTTTGATGCAATTTTTTAATAATGTTTTTTTTTTTTTTTTTTTTACACAGGCTGTTGGCGCTCTCTCTGCCGAAGTTCTCCCTGACCTCTGTGAATGACCTCCATGACCTGCTGTCCAACATTGATCCAGACGCAGAAGCCAAACTGCTGGGCTCCCAGGCTGAGTTCAGCCAACTCAGTGACACCCAACCCTTCACTGTAAACCAGGTGAATGCTGTACGGATGCTGTACTAGTCTGTCACCATGAGAAGGTATGTGCAGCACTAACGGTCCGTCTCCTCTCAGGTGGTCCATAAGGTGGTGTTTGAGATGTCAGAGGAAGGAGCAGAAGTTCAGGACGTGACACAGGAAGAAGGCGTTCCCCTGAAACTGACCATCAACAGGCCTTTCTTCTTTTCTGTCATAGAAGGAGACTCTAACGCCATCTTGATGATGGGCAAGATCACGGACCCCACCTTATAACCACACTGTGATTAGTATTTTACAGATCTTTAAGTGTTTATTTTACAGATTTTTACTGTACTCGTACATAGAAAAAAAGTTTATAAAATTACAGAAATTGTTATTTTATCTGTCAGAAGTAAAAATAACAGGAAGTGACATTTGCATTTTTTAAAAGAAAATTAGTCTTTTTTTATAATAAGATACCATTAAAATAATTCACAAATATATTTTACATTTTACGTTTTTTGTTCTTTATGTGACTTTAATAGAACCCCGTTAAAATATGTTTTTTGTTCTTTATATGACTTTAATAGAACCCCGTTAAAATATGTCAGGTTGTGCTTCCGGATAATGCATGTACGTCATACGAAATTGTTTTTAACTAAATGAAAATTGAAGTTGTCTCTGTGAATAAGACAAACTCTTATTCCTATATTTTTTATTACAGTTTTGTATTCATTTGTGAATATATAGGAAATAATGTTTCTTTGTTGACCAAAGTGTTGAAAAACAGACAAATTCAACATTTTATCAAAAGTTCTTTTTACTTTCCCCTCCATTTTTAGACTCTATACTTACACCTTCAGTACAACGGACAACATTAGTCTTTCACCAAGCAACAGAAATAAGACAATAATTATTTAAATAATTTCAGAACCTTCCATTAAAAAAAAACTCCCTCATTATGTGAAAAAACATTATATCAACCAAAAACAGACTCTGGTTCTCGTAGCTAAAAAAAAAAAAAACATTGAGACATTTTTACATAATATTTCTTTTAGGAAAAGTGTTTTCATCTGTGTCAGTTCTTCTCCTACATTCTCCGTGTCTTCATAGTCTGACTTTTGTAAACTGCCACCAGGTCACAGCTTTGGCTGGGAGAGCAATTCTCTTTTCCAAACCTTCATGATCGCAGGAATCAGTGCAGCTAGAGTTTTACTTTACTGGTTTTGCTCGCCAAGTTCTCGAGCCTCTTTCACGAGGTCCGTCAGAGGGGAGAACATGGAGATGTCAGCTGGCTGTAGACCCATCTTCTGGATCTGTGGTAACAACACAGCAGAGTTAGAAGGAATTCTACATGACAAGACAGTCAACCAGAATAGCCAGAATACCAGAATAGGGTAGACTTTTGAGATGGGGTAACTCTACATATTAGTGTAACTGACTGAACCTGAAGTTCCACAGTACCAGAATGCAGTGCATTCTAGGTAGACTTTTGAGAGATGGGGTAAATCTACATCTTAGCGTAAACTTTAACTGACTGAACCTGAAGTTCCACAGTGGTCTACAGCAGTCTACTAAAGGATCGACTAACTGGACCAGTCCTGAGTCCTCACCTGCTCTCCCAGATATTCCACGTCCAGTGCCAGCTGCAGGCGGATCTTGCCATCATCAGTGAGGCCTCCGTTTGATCCTGCTGCACTCGCTGTGGCTCCGCCCTTTCTGGCTTGTTTCAGCCGTTTCAGACTCTCCTCCATTTTCCTCACGGAGCTCAGCACGTCTGAGATTGTCTCAAAGTACCTGGAGGTAAACCACACATTATCACTAGGTACATGTTATGTTATTTTTCCCAATATACTTCAACCGTTTGAACTCTCTTTACCTCTGTGTGCAGTCACAAAGTGTAACTCTCAGCCACTCCTGTGCAGTGGACGGTGTGACCAGCCCCGATGAGTCGGTCAACAACTGATGTAGAGGACGTAAGGCGTTGTCCATGTACGCTGATGCTCGCACGGGTACGTCCTAAACATCCAGAGCACAACAGTGGATGGAGTCAGCTTTGTTATGGTTAAAATAATGGCAGTAAAGCCAGTGAATTTGTTGAAATGTCATTGGTGTTTTAACAAACAAATTCAGCCATGTGTGATTTTTGACCTTTATACCTGCATATATCCATTGGGCCATAGAAATACCAAGTACATTTGCCTTCAGGTTGATGTGAAACAACAGTCAACAGTCAGGAGCAAACAAACACTGTTTGCTCTGGACTGTTGACTGTTGTTCGATCTAAGAGAATTGAGGACATGCGTCCATAGAGCCTGACCTTATTTGTCCGGCGGTAGAGTCGCGGAACCTCTGAGGCACTTTTGAGGAAGCGGCAGCAGCGTTCTGTCAGATGCTGTGTCATCTTAGTGTTCAGAGTGGGAATGCTGCTGGACAGGCAGGTCTTAGAGTCGGCAAGAGCATCTGAGGTTCAAGGAAATGAGGAAAAAATGCAATGAGAAGCGTCTCAGAGTCAGCTAAAAATATGTTGAGAGTGTTGGTTAGAAGACAACAGATCATGCTTTTAAAAATCAGTCCAGCAACTCACCTTCCACAAGGGCAAAGTTCTTAAACCCAATGGCTTCCAAACGCTTTCTGATTATTTCTGACAACTCAGGGATCTAAGAAGAGAAGAAGAAGAAGAAGCGCCAACCATGAGCAGGACACGACATCTGTGGGGAAGAAATGTAAGGTGAAAGTCACTGGACTGTGTTCCTAGTCTGCTCACCTGCTCCTGCAGTTTCTGGATGTCAGCAGCGATGTGGACCAGCTGCTTGGTGGATAGTGATGCAGGACTTCCACTCTCACTGCCCCCATCTGAAGCTCTGCTGGAGTTGGAGGAGGCGGAGCTGGGCAGAGGTCTGATTGTCTCTTTGGGAATCTCAGGAGGAGAAGTCTTAGTCAAGACCTGTGCAGACGACAAATGAAATATAGACAGTTTAACTAGTTCTAGTTTATTTTCTGAGGTAAAATCAAAATTCTGTACATCCTGTTGGTCAAATGTGAAATTTTGATTAAAAATTAAAAAAAAAACCAAAATATAAAATGTTATCTTTTCTGCATGTTTC